TGGGAAGGACAAATCATAGTGCCCTTCCCGCATAACCAAGAGCTTGATAGGGAGGGGCGCTATAAACAAAACTTATATAGAATGATATGAGACTGTCGCCTTGAAAGGGTATAGTAGCAGTGGAGATTCTTTCAAAAGAGTTCTTCTAGGGAAGTATTGCCACCGTAGCCATTTTTGCTACCGGTTTTGAAGGATAAGAAGTGAATTTAATTTCTGTCTGAGGGTGATGGGCACAGTGGCAGTCCCCTCAGATCTTTGCGTTTTATTGCTCTGAGTGGTAGATACGGACAGGCATGTGGCTTACCTCCAGGCGCATGACTTGTTCGTCGTCACTTCTTGGTATCATAAAAAAATTGTCATAGCATCTTTTTAATCAAATAACAATAAAATTTAATACGTCAAAATATTAATGACATTGTATTCATATATCAATGTCAATAGATTTTTATGTGTTGCACATAAAAATCTACTTAATTATAAAATGTAAAAACAATTCTATGTGTGTAAATATATATATGAAAAAATAAAATTAACGTAAAACCATAGGTTTAGTATAAAGGTACCAAACCGTCAGGCCTTCCAATGAAAATTGGAAAATCTTGAAGGTAAAACAAATACTTCCATTTACAATCATTGTAATATAAAATTCACTGAGTACCCTTGCGTGTTCCTGTCGAACACGGTTCTTTAAGATAGTAAAATTCCCAAGCAAAGGGTATTTAAAAAACTTTACTATATTTATTTACAATAGAAATTATTGTTACCGCACGTAAAATCTGTAATAAGAATAAGGAAGTTAAAGGCAAGAAAGAGAAACAAATCACAATGCGACTTAGAAAAGTTACCATTAAAAATGAACCTAAAATCATTACTTTACCGCCAACTGTGACAAAGTCAAAGATTAGTGATGTCCTATGGAGGTTCGTCATAAGTAAAATTCCAGTTGTAAGCGCGGAAGCACCAAAAGCAGTACAGCCCCAACTTACGGCAATGAGATACACTGATCTTCCATTATATGTCCCTATAATTCCCATAACAGAAAGAAGTAAAGATCATGAAGTAAAAGTACTGCACAGAAAAATCAACCCATATGTTACGGAATACAGAAAATTAATATTCAATTCTATGAGAGATTACATGAGTCCTATCTGTGAGGAAGTTTGCAAAATTTTTTGTGAAATTTCAGACACAAAGTCTAAGTTCAAAGAGTATATGAGACACCCTGACAACTTGCAAATGAGGAAGGCGATCGTTGCTTCTGGGACAGTGGCAGGGCTCGCTCTTGGAGCCAGAGGCCCATACCTAACACGACGATTTTTCTGGGGTGCCGTAGGTGCTTTATTTACTGGATGGCTATGCTTCCCAAAAGAAACTGACATTGCTGTTCGAGAAATTTCATACACGTTTGCTACAACTTCAACTACGTTGCTCAGTAAATTTTGTAATACAACCTACAGGATAGAAAAAAATAAATTACCTTGTTTCAGAGATATTTGTATACCCACAGAGAAATATAGTATGGTTAGGAAAGATTGTACTAAAATGGAATTGACAAAAAACCAAACCAGTCGTAACTAAAAAAATGAAAATGAGAGAAAACCCAAGCGCGCACATAGAAAAAACAAAAACTTTTTAAAGATAAACTATTTTAGATTTCAGTTAGCAAAGGTAAAACAGTATTTTAATATCTTATGGATCTTATGGACGATGAAAATTGCGCTCAAAATCCTTCAAATAAATAGCGCAAACAGAACTCAAGGCAAAATGCCTGAAACCCCATTGGTCTATAAAACGATTCTAGGAGAGATGTATTTTAGAAATCAAGAAGATCTCGTTATTTTGACAAAGAGTAAGAAGATGCTGCTCACTCATATCTCCTTTTTACTCCGGTTTTATAGACTTAAAGCGCTAGCTTATACGGTCACTTATAATTAAGTAGAAGACAAATTATGCCATCATTCAGACTGATGCCAGTTACGAAAGCAAAAATAGTTTTTATTTAAATGTGCAAATTATGATTAGTAAATTAGTGACGTTTTTGTGTTGTCGTTTGCGTGTAAACTACAATTAGAAAATGCACAACGTTGATTTTTTTTTCAACAACAATTTTTATAGTATTCGATTTTACTTTTATTCGAATCTTAAAATTTTGTGTTCTATTTAGTACCACGGCAATTTTAGTACCATTGTAATTTTTAGTACCATGGTCATTTCAGTATACCGTGGTTTTTTTACACCGTCATTGGTTACCAAATTTACGTACTAGGTGGCTAACTTTTATTGTTCTTTTTCCTCTTCAAACAGAAAGGCGATGCGTAGCAAATTGGTACACAATATACTAATAAATATGTATAAGAATAATATACTCCTGTGTTAGTAAGAGAAATGATTACGTCCAAAAAAAACCTACAAAATTAGCCGAATAAATACTACAAGGCATGTCGTAATTAGGACAGTAAAATAAAGTTACTTACGTCGTATGACTAACGATCATAATTGATGTTTTTTACGGAAAATCAACATTGTGTCACTTAAAAAAAAATTGAAAAACGCACGCATAATTAATGGTGTTTTTAAAAAAACTTATGTTTAAATAAATTGTACGATTGTTTTAATTTGTTTTTTATTGTTGTTGATGCAAAGATCGAACACAAAAAAAATCCTCCGATCTGATTGGACTGGACCCAATGTCTATTGCCGTGCCAGAGGTAGACACCGAGTCAACAGACCTTACGAATTTCTTTGTGTTTATTAAAATGTATTGGGTTTCTCGAAACGGCTTTTTATTGCCGTCAGCGCATGAGTGAGAAGCTTACGAGAACGAGAAACTATTAATAATATGAAACTAGTGGAGTATTTTCAGCAAAAAAAATTGTGCGCCACTCAGAGTTACCGCTGTCTTCACCCTGAGACCTAAGTATCATCAAATATAATAAAATCATATATATATAATTTTATTATATATATATATATATGATTTTATCATATATAATTATATAATAGATCCAGAATCCAAAAAATATTTTTTTTAGTATATTTTTTTATTTGCGCACAATCATAGCCCTGCACTAGGGGAATCCTGTGTCGCGAGTGCCATGGACACACACATAGACAAGACAACCACGAACTACACCAAAATATTTCTCCCTCTGCGTGGCAGACCAGCATGGTAACCGTTCGGCCACGGAGGCAGTTTATTGAATGTCACGATGTTTGAACACCATGGTTAAGCAATTATTTTTGTGAAATTACTCCGCTAGTTTGGTATATTTACTATTACAAAGATAGATTCAAACCACCGTCTTCGTGCAAACCATGCCAAACGCTATGCCAACTAGGCATCTGGAAGAAATTTCTTCGTAGTGTTCGAACTATTTTATAAAAAAAATTATAATATTTTTTTTAATGTTTACGCTTTGGTGGGCTTTGTTTGTTCGGTTTATGTATTCAATTTTCAACCCATATACATGGTGTAAGAAAAAAGATGTAATAATCCTTAACAAAGTGTCTCAATCGATCATACTGCCCCTTTCCTAACTCCCGTATCAGTCATTTTTGTCCTGAGGAAGATGTACGATCTCGCTTAACTTTCAAAAGCGAACATTCTCCTCACCACTAATCGTCGTTTTTATATATCATTGATTGATATATTTCATTTTTATGTACCATTGATACTCTTTCAGAAAATTCTTTTAACACCAGATAGGACTAAGGCTGCCTTTCCACGAAAGCTGTGCGAGATAGCTAGGCGGTAAGAGGATGAACAGCGGCGCGGTGCTAGGGTGGGTTATGGACTCTTTTCAGCTATGCGCGGGCGGGGTACGGTGATGGGGTGTGCGGTGTCGATATGTCAGTGTCAGTTAGTGTCATACTTTTAGTAGCTCTAGTTACCTACACCGTTTTACACGCATTTCTCGCCCGCATTCCTCGCACATGTCTCTCGCTATTTTGCATGTACAAATGCTTAGTTCCGCTAACCCTTTTCCACCGAAGATGCGCTTAGCGAAGCTAAGAAAATTAAGTACTCCTATTGGTGGATTTTTTCCTCGCACACTGCTTCGCTACATCGCATATCTCTGGTGGAAAGGCAGCCTAAAGGTAAAAAATGCTAATATAATAATTATAACTGTTTAACTGCTCCAGTGTGGCGGCCTATCGGTTACCATGGTGGGCTGCCACGGCTCGGGTTCGATTCCCGGGCCGGGAGAAATATTCGTATGGCCTACATTTATTTTTTTCGTGACTTTGGATGTAATTTGAGATGTCTATGAGTGTGTCCAAGGCACCCGCGATACAGGGTCTTCCCAGTGCGGGGCTATTATTATTACAATTCCAAACAATTTTTTTTTTTTATTATTTTATAATCAGTAGGATTTCTCCTATATTTTCCGTAGATTTCTCATACATTTGGATTAAATCGAAATTGACGATCATTGACCCCACTCTGATAATAATGACCCAAGGAAGACGTGGCTATAAAATAAATTATGAACCGAAGACTTCGCGTATGCCTATTTACCATGACCAGGGTAGAACAACTATTTACCGACCACCTCAACTTTCATAAAACACTTAAAAACTTTTCTTTTATTGAGGCATTGGCAACTGGCACACCAGTTAAGAGACATATTTATTTAAAAAACAATTAAAATTACCAAATATAAAATAAGCCAAAAAAATTCAAATATCAACAACAACTTAGAATACACTTAATAAAAAAACTTAAAAACGTTTTATATTTAATGTCTACATCTTCAAGATTATCTATATTTTTATGAAACTAAACATAGCCCACTGGAATTTTAATGACGATTTTGGAATGATATAATCATGTAATTCTAATTACAGAATTTATCAACTTTTTGGTTAGGTCTTTGTAAGTTCTTTAAGTTATTTTTTTTAGTTTTTACTAAATTAATTCTTCAAGCAGAAACTGTTTCGGTGAACAACATAATGATACTGAATTTTTTTTTAAATGAAACCGACAAATGCCAACCGCAATGCTCAGTTTAAGATGCCAAAGTGACACTACATCCACCCAAAAAAATGAAATTGAGTTAGATCAAAACATTAGTTTAAATTTAGGAATAGAAGCCGCCGCCAAGAAACAAAAAGAAGAAGAAGCAATAGAAGTCGATCATTGTAAAAAATATATTTTCCAATCCAGAGACGAAATGTCGCAAAGTATATCAAAACTCTGCTATGGGAACCTATACGTGATAGGTAGCCTATGGCTTGAAGGGATGAAGAAAATAATGGTAGGAAAGAGAATGTGTGTCGTTCCTAAACTCAAAGTTGCCAACAATAATAATAAAAATAATAATAAATTAACTACAAACGAAGAGGCAGAAAACACAACTTCCAAAGAAGAATCTATTCCAAAGAAGCCACCTGAAATGCGTTATAGTGAGTTGCCACTCTACCGCAGTCCTCATCAAGAATACAATGAAAGTATGTATAATACGTGGTATTGCCGTGATTACAAAAGCCATGCATTACAGAACATCCTTTTCCCATATGTGAGAGAAGCAAGAATCACAATTCAGTGCAAAATAAAAGAGGTCAGAGAGCGGATGTTACAAAGTTTGTGTGTTTTGAGATTGGTGACAGACAGCTCGATGTGTAGAGTACAAGAACATATGCGGGATCCTTGTAACAAGGTGCAGGCAAAAACTTTTGTAGCATTGAGTACAGCGACAGGAGTTGTTCTAGGATCTAAGAGAGGGTTCCTCAGGGCAATGTTCTATGGATGTTTTGGCGCCCTGACGTCCGGAGCGCTCTGTTTCCCGAAAGAGACTGATTTCGCCTTCAGAAATGCTTGCTACACAACCTGGTCGTTAATAAAAAAAGGATTTAATATATTTGAGGGAACAAATAATCATGTAACTTATCTGTGTCCAGAAGAAACGCCTCTATGTTCTGAAACGAAGGTAACAAGCGAGCCTAAAAACGATGAAGATAACAAAGCGAGAAAAAGAGAAAACAAAAGTAGGAATCACCTTTGAAAATAGAAAAAAATGGTTAAAAATTACATACACTGCTCTAAAACGCTTTCATAAAAAACTAAACCTACTGCATTTTGCTATAGTATCTAGTTGTAAGTATCTAGGTGTAAACATAATAAACATGCAAGTAAGTGAAGTATTGGAAAGAAGAGAGCAGATTTAAAAAAAAGTAAGGAAATATGAAAAGAAAGAAAAGAGATATGATAATAAAAATGTATCTTGTTTAAAAAGGAGCTCTGAAATGTAAGGTATTATGGTAACTCTTTTTGCAAAGTTTCAAGACACTATTATCAAGTTGCAGTTATTTTGTTTAATGTTCGTTTTTCGTACGTCATTCTTTATTCGTAAAATCATTATATAACTAATTTCATTTTTTTTTTTATAACCAACTTCAAAAAAAGGAGGAGGTCCTCTCCTCGACTGTTTTTTTTATGTATGTTACGATTATGTCTACAGTTCCATTCAAATTTATATTGGGGGATGAATCCGGTGTTAAGCTTGGCAAATATATGTGCAAGTCCACAAACTTTCCGTTTTTTAAAATAAAAAAGTTATAATTTTTTATTTATTTTTTAATTTTAAAGGTGATTTGCAATCACAACATTGGATTTTTAAATTCATTCATTTATAACTTAAAACCAAACGACCTAAATATGTTATTTCATTTTAACATTTACTCATACTTTTTACACACAAAACAATACAAATGGGGTATTTAACGCCAATAGGCGTTCTCTACTAGTCAAGCAAAGAGCTGGTTTCAAATAAATTAACAGACTGGTTGAAGAAAAATTTAACAAATTATTTTAGTGTGGTCAATTGTTTATTCGTATTTTACTCCTTCAGGAAACAATTCATCTAATTGTCAATTAATAGGCGTATAAATAGTCTTATATATATTTGCAATCGAAATGTTAAAAGAATTTTAATAACAATGTGACTCACGAGAAAAGAAAAATCTTTAGGTGAACCACGGGAAGAAATAACCACTGCACCAGTCACCCTGAGACATAAGTTGACAAGTCCCATGTGCCTGTAATTTCACCAGCACTCTTACCCTTCAAAACCGGAACCCATTTATGCTGATATTACTGCTTGGCGGCAGAAATAGGTAAGGTGGCAATAATACCCTGGGCGAACTCTTTCACAAGGAGCTCAAATGCAACGAATAACTAACGGGAGAAATAAATATAGGTCATATAAAATTTCTCCCGGCCCGGGAATCGAACCCTAAGCGCAATTGCGCACTGCATCCCATTCGTATTTATTCCGAATCCGAGACTATAACTAAATCTAGAAAACTCGGACCCACTTCGGGTGTCGGTGCACAAGCGACATCCGAAAACAAAAAAAGGGTATTCCACAGCGCTTTGCTTAGGTAGCGAAAATTGCCTACATAGCATTGTGTAATAGCAACATACGTATTTATAATTAAATTGACTTTTATATAATAATCACATTTAATTCGATTTAGAATTTGGTTAAATCAAATCTAAAAAAAATATTATTTATTATGTTTATATTATCGTCCGTATTTATTTAGTTTCGAAATTATTATTTGTTTAATTTATACAACATGAAAATGGCGTCAGCTAGCTGGTTACCGTATCCACTGCATCCTCTAGGTTATAGCTGAAAATAAGCGGTTTGCTCCTGAATAAACACCGACGCTGAGCTATGGCCTTTTTGCGCTGCTACAGCACACATAACTGGGTGTTCTGCAGTGCTGCGACCCTGCTGTTTTTTTTTCCTTTTTTTATTGTATTACATATTTTTCTGTAATGTATGTGTGTCCGTAGATCCAAATAAACGTCTTATCTATCTATCTATCTATCAGTAAGTCCGATTCTAATCCGAGGAAATACGAATATCGCTTGTACACCTAGAGATAAAATGATCCCTGTAACATTTCCGACTGTCATTTCTCGGATGCGGAACTGACACGATAATCGTGCAAAATAAAATTATCCTCCTTCAGCACAAAATTAATAAAATATATAAACCAAACGCAACTACAATCCGCAATAAGCAGTCTAGCAGTAACGTGAGCAATGTCAAAATATGATGTTATTATATCTATAATAAAACATGACATCGTATTATACAATATTTATTTTATTTAAACTACATAATTATATTATTGTCAATCGACTGACTGTGAATCTTAAAAATTAATCCCAATTTTGTCAAGAAATGTAAAAAGACTTGATGATGAATTAGTATTTAATAGGTTGCCACTTTACCACCTAATTGATTATACGTTTTCGAAATTAAGCAACGTTTCTGTGTTATGAGTGCATAGATACATTTCATGTGACGCTTGCACATGTAGGTGCAATTCACACATAATAAACACTGCGCATGAACCACAAATATAAAGAGTATTAAAAATAAAAATAAATTAAATTGATATTTAATCATTTTTTTGTGAAATTACTCCACTAGTTTGTTATAATTATATACAAACATCGGACAATTAGAAAATCCTTCGATCCGGCCGGATTCGAACCGACGTCTTCTAGCAAACCGAGCCAGACGCTATGCCAACTAAGCCACGGAACAAACCAGCGGACCTCACAAAATTTTCTGTGCTTGTTTGTCGGATCTTTGTATTTGAATTTCAACGACTTTTAGCCGTTGGGCCATCGCTGAAAAATTTGTGAAAGTATTTCGTCACTCAGTTAGGTAACTTTACTAGTACCAGCCCTGACTGATGTCGCTATTATCTGTAATGAAATGTATATTGTATTGATGTTCAATTATTTTTGTGAAATTACTCCACTATTTTGTTATAATTATTAATAAAAAGATTGAACACTTAGAAAAAATTCCTTCCAACTAAGCTTACAGATAGATAGATAGATAATACACTTTACTGCTCACACACGGCGGCGACCTTATCGCTGAGAACGATCTCTTTTAGACAACCTTTGAGGCAGAGGAGAGAGAGACGTAGTGTGCCAGTGATAAAACTTTAAATGCATGATTAAATACTTACACTATCATATTATGAAATAATAAGTGACTATAATATTATATACCTACATATATACGCTTAAATAAAGTTCTACTTACTATTAAATAAAAAATACAGACTAAGTTGCAGACTAAGATCGAGCCAGAAGATACTTACGCAATGCTGTTTTAAATATAGGAAGCGAGTTAGAATGTCGGATTTCTGTCGGGAGTTCGTTCCATGACAGTGCCTTAACAGTAAAGCAGTCTTTAAAATGCTCTGAGCAGTGAAAGGAGGTTTCAGCAGATTATCCATTTGAGATCTCAGTTCACGGTTGTGATCCTTACCGAGGAAACAAAAACGATCCTTAAGGTATGAAGGAGTGCGAGGGTCATAGAGCACGTTATAGAGTAAGCTGAGAACGTGCTCCTCATGTCATAGCTTTATGGGGAGCCACTGAAGCCTTCTCCTATATTCGGACACATGGTCGAATCATCAAAATCCATAAATGTATCTGATGTATAGGTTCTGTAAGCGCTGGAGTTTGTTTAAAAGATCCGCATTGAGGTCAATGATACAGACATCAGCATAATCCAGTAAAGGTAATAGCAGCGATTGCGCAAGTTCCACCTTGGTCCTCACAGGAAGCAAATTTTTCCACTTTCGCGACGAACCAGAATTAGCAAACACTTTTCTACTGACCTCGGCTATATGAGGTGACCAAGACAGGGTGGAATTGAATAGAATGCCAAGGTTTTTGACCACACTGCTGAAAGACAATGGGAAGGAGTCGAATAAGAGCAAAAATTTAAAAAAATTTAAATTCAAAAAATTATTTATTGTTCTTTCCACCTTAACAATACAAATTACAGGGTATTTAAAGTAGGGAACATCATACAATTAAATTGTGAGGTGGAAGACTGGTGCCTAAACTAGGTCGGACCTGTACTATAGAATATGGGAAAGCATCGGAAGGAAGCAGGGGAACAGTTCTGTTGTTAAGCTTGGCAATCTGCTTTGAGCCACCTATGACGATGGCCTGCGACTTGCTAGGGTTGACCGTAAGGCCATTTGTTCGACTCCATTGTCACGAGGTCGTCATAAAATTTGGCGATTACACTGTCCACGTCGGAAACAGGAGCTTGAGAATAGATCTGTAGGTCATCAGCATATAGATGATACTGACAAGAAAGTAAGGGCGTAAAGGAGTTAATAGAGATTGAAAAAAGAAGAGGAGAGAGGACGCCGCCCTGAGGCACACCAGCGGTAACATCAAAGCAGCGAGAAAATTTATTATTGACACGAATACATTGCCGCCGCCCAACGAGATAGTGATGAAACCGTTTCACCGCCATATCTGATACAAGGACAGATTTCAGCATTGCCAACAGGATGTCGAAGTCAACAGTATTGAATGCGTTGCTGAAATTCAAAAGAACTAATACTGCCAGATGTTGATTGGACATACCTTCACGAATGTCATTAGTCACCTTGGTCAACGCAGTAACAGTGCTATGCCCCTGACAAAAACCAGATTGGAAGGGATTAAGGATATTGTTAAAATTCACAAATACTATTATTTCATGATGGACAAGACGCTCAAGAACTTTGGAAAGAAATGGAAGAACAGAAATAGGGCGCAAATGAGAAGGTAAAGACGGATTAGTGGATTTAGGAATAGGTATTACAATAGCCTGACGCAGCAAATATGGCAAAGTATAGGGACGAGAATTGACAAACCGTGTAACTTCATCTTTCGACTTATTCCATCCAGTCCTTCAGCGTTAGATTTAATAGCCAAATTTTTTTCAAATTCACTCTCAGACACAGACCTGAAAGAGAATGCCTGAATAAGCTTAGTTTGCATAGAATCTAGCACGGTTTGCTAGAAGACGTCGGCTCGAATCCGAAAGAATTTTTTCTAAGTGTTCAATCTTTGTATTAATAATTATAACAAAAATAGATTGAAGCTAAAATATTATCTATTTCATGTACAATTTTATCTTAGGCATTTTTAAAGCTAGAAAATCAAAGTAATTATCATTTCAAATGGTATTAAAGGCGCCTTCAAATTAGATGCTTATATAAGCGTTGAGCGGCACAGCAACCGCGCGTCTGTAGCGCTTCAGTCAGTTTTAGTTTAGTAATTGAGACTTCTTCCAAGACGAAAATCATGACCAATCGCTATAAACGTACCTAACATAATTAAAGGTAGCGACACCGTTCAGTTTGTCAGCGATTTTAATGTTATATAATCTTGGATATCGTTTATCCTTTGACCAAGAGGCTCAGGTTAAAGAGGTCGAAAAGCGTATCGGTTTGGGGTGGGCGGTATATGATAAGCTAGAGAACATCTTGAAGTCAAAACTCAGGGTCTGCAGACCAAGATCTAATTATATCTTGCCGATCTTCACCTACGATATAGAAACATGACGCTCGTTAGTAAAATACGCCCAAAATTAAGGTGGCACAAAAAGCGATGGAGCGCTCTTTGCTCGAAATTTCTCTCGGGAATCGGGTACCAAACGTCGAAATTCGATGAAAAACGAAGGTCGATGACGTAGGTAATCGCATAACGAGGTTAAGGTGGAGATGGGCGGGACATTTTCTTAAAGGAGAAGACGGACGATGGACCAAAGCAGTCACGGAATGGTGGCCAAGAGGAGAACCGGCTGGCCGATTCTAAGTCTAACGATTGGGTCATCGAGCATTGGGTCGTGTTGGCTGACCATGATGACCTGTCACGGCAGTGGTGCTGCGACTGCTAGGAATGGTAAATGTTGTATGAAAATTAGTAATCAACATTTACTAAGTTTAAAAAAAAAGTATCCAACTTTTTTTAATGCTCATTTGTCTTAGTTTTGAGGCCCAACATAAAACTATCGAAGAACTGTAGAACAGATTAAAATATCGATCGTTTTAATTTATTTTGTCTCAGAGAAAGAGGATCAGTCATTAAAAAAGTGACCGTTTAGATTTATTTTGTCTGCTGCATTTGCAAAAAACATTGAATGCAGTTAATTTATAGATGTATCCATAGATCAACTAATATAAACGGAATAATTAATATATACTTCAAACATAAAAAAACAACGTTTATTAAAAAAAGGGCACGTAAAATTTACAATACATCAATTATTTCTTTGAGGATGAAATATTATTCCCTTAAAATTTATACCTTATTACAATTGTTCATTAATTATAGATAGATAAACTTAATATATTAAGTTTCTGGTTAATAACCTTATGAACAAAAATTGTTAAAGTCGTTTTATGGTATAAACTCATTTTGTATTATGTTTTTGTTTGATCGTTGGCGTTCTGCTCTTCCTTCAAATGTTCTTCTAATATTTGTCGTACCTTATCCTTTAATATTGTTAAATCTTCATCGGTTGTCACTTGGAAAATAGACTTGTTACAATCTGATGTACACACCTTATCTTCTGAATATACAGTCGATTCGAAACAGTCGTTTAAACAAGGTATCAACGGACTCCTTCTCTCAAATGGTATCTTCTGACACTGATCTCCAAAAAAATAGTTTAAACAGTTCACTATTGTTTTTGCTACATAATAAGAAATGTGTCTTAAAAATCTATCTGTCTCTTCAGGAAAACACAACCAGCCTGTAAACAAAGCTGCTAAGATGCCAGAAGGGAGATTACGTAAAAGATAATAGTTTTTGGACCCAAATACGATCCCTGCGGCAATACCCAAAGCTACAACCACCTTCCTTAAATGTAAATTTTCGTCGTCTCTCATATAACATAGAAATTTCCCTTTTCGTAATCTGAAAGCATGAACTGCATTTAAAACTTGACATTCAGCCCAATGGAACCAATCCTCAAAGGTTTCAGTTATACAACATCTATAACGTGTAACATATGGTATTAATGCACATGCTAACTTCTGTTGACGCCGTTGGCATTTATCTCTATTTTCTTGACTTTCTTTATAAATGCAATGAGGTGCGTCATATATAGGCAGATCAGTATATTTCATAAGTGGTGGCTTTTCAGGTTTACATTGAACAGCGAAAATCACCGGTATGATAGTTAGGGTTATTGGTAAAAGTTCCAATGTTCTCGCTGTCTTTGTTTTATTTGATTTAATATTAGGCGGATTATTGTGACCCGTATTGTATGTAGGCCGGAGATTATTTTGATTTCCTATACCGTCTTCCACGTATACATTTCTAAATTCTTTGAAAGTCTTTAATATTAGTGGTGGTATAATTTTCCATGACATTTTTTTCTAATTAGTGACGTGTACGTTGTATTAAACTTATGTATGTTATTTTATTAAATTACTAAGTTTTTTTACAATAAGTAAATTTTTTAAATTACTTTTCCGATTTTTTTTATTAATTTAGTTTTTTCTATTTTTTTTTTACTTTGTCAATTAATTGTTGATACTATTCAATGAAACATCGGCAGGAAATAAATCCCTTTCCATTTGTTATACCTCACTAATATGCTTGCTATACCTCACTAATATACTTTAGTGAATTTATAGTAAAAGTATTGAACATTCATATTGCATATTAAATTTAAAAGATTGTTTACATATCTTGCATTTTGAAAGGTGCGTGTGTTTATCTGCGATTTCTATTTATTCCAAGATAAATTATATATGATTCCAGGTTTTATTTTTTTCTTCTTCTTTTTGTTTAGTATGCTTTGCTTCTTTTAGAGTCAGTTTTGTAAAAATAATATAAAAATTATGGCGATCGACGCCAACGTCTGTTCTAAATTATTACAATTGACAGATGTCATATTTCTACTCTAAATTTCAATTATAGACTTGATAATATAGATTATAGTGTACCAACACGAGGTTCTAATTTTATCCAGATTGGTAACAGAGCGGCCCTCATGTTTCCCTTTCCCACATGTTTCAACGTGCTTAGACAAAAAGAGATAACATGACGCGATGCTGCCGCTCTAAATGTAATTAGTACCCTAGTTTATTATGACAATGACCTAGAATCTAGAACGCACACTACAAACCAAATATACCGGACCACCGCTGCTTTTACGATTGATACCACAGAACAATAAATACATTAGAATTGGTTAGTGGTTCGCGTCCTACGCGTGCCAACTATAGGTCTCTAAAGACCTATCTAAGTCAGTCCTTCATTTTCGCTTTGTATGGTATGGTTATATTATTCTTTAGATGATAATTCTCTAAAATCCTAGAAAAATGCCTTGTTTTGCTGTTTTGAAGTGCAGAAATGATAGCCGTATCAAATATATTACCCGTGGTAGTATTTCAAATAATTTTTGTGAAATATATTTAATTTATAATAATATAGTATTTATTATAAGAAACGAAAGTAAAGCTTATACTCCAGGAATATGGTCGCTTCTTATTTGGAGAACTAAATTAATAACTCCGATTCGTGGTCGTTCAGCAATGCACCGCTAGATGGGAGCACATTGATTAAAATTTCAATATAATATCAAAACGTCGTAACTTGTAATAATAGGTATAGAACTTTCAACGATATGCCAACAGGGTAAAGTTCAAATTATATTAACAATCCAGAATTTGGTACATCTTAATAAATTTGAAACAACGACATTTTGCAGTGTTACAAATTACGATTGTGTGAGTATTGGCGACGTCGGTTCTGATGGTTTAACTGCCTCCGTGGCCGAACGGTTACCTTGCCGGACTGCCACGCAGAGGTCCCAGGTTCGATTCCCGGGCTGGGAGAAATATTTGTATGGCTTACATTTATTTCTCTCGTGAATTTGGGTGTAATTTGTTGTTGTCTATATATGTTGAGTGTGTGCTTTATTATTATTATGATTTTTTCCTGTACTCGACTGAAGGTCGGATATTTGGAACCAGGTACGGACCTAAGTCAAGTATTTTGGTTCGGTTGTGGTATTGTGATGGGAGGTGGGTGAGGGGTGGTTTTTTGTGGAGTTTGTTGAATCAGGTGTATTAAACAAGCGGCGTACTATCGATCATGTGTCTAGTACAATTGACTTTTGTATAGGTATGTAGGTTTTAGGGTACAGATACCACCTTACCGCTTCATACCGCCTTAAAATGATAGATTTTAAGGCGGTATGAAGGGTTTTCGGTATGATACCAGTTGACGAAATTATAATGGGGACTATCTTAATGGTTTCTTGGTGCCACATCTGTTTGATGTCGTCTGCTAAAGGTATGTATTTTTGTATTTTTTCGATGTGTGTCTGTTTTAGGTTGTTTGTACTGGGAACGGCAATATCCATGAGGTAGGTGGTCTTTGTACATTTTACAGTTAGTGTTATATCAGGTCTGTTGCTGAGGACAGTGTGATCGGTGATAATGTCTCGATCCCAGTAGAGTTTTATTTTATTATTATTATCATTATTACTTGTGGTTTCATCATTAATTTAACAAGACTATTCAATAGAGAAGAATATTCAATAGAGTCTAAAACAATCGAGGGTCGAATCGGAGTAGACATGAAGAAAAAGCGACACAAAAGAACTAAGTCACGGATAAATAAAAACTAACGTAATGATTTGGCAGAATAGTTCTCAAACAAATTAAATGACAATTCTTCTCTATTTCTAGTTCATCGTGGATATACTCGATGTTCTAGTTATATACTCGATGACCGTTACATTACCGTTCTTTGTTCAAAAAATGACAGTTAGTATAGTTTTATATGTGGCTGAGTGTAATATGTCCAGTAATAATAGCTATGACACGTTCTAGAGACATTTCTAAAGGTGGTAAGGTCGTGAGTAAACGCTTGGAATGACGTGTCCGAGCTTACTTGATATTTTTATTGTGATTTTCGTTCTTGTTCCTGGAATACAGTTATACCAGCCGTACTCCTTTATTACGTCCACTGTTCACACGGTACAATATTTTATAAACCATTATGAATTGAATTTTTTTTTTTAATTTGAAAATTATGTTGAATTATTATGTGTTGTTTGTAAATTGAAATAAATAGTCTATAAATAATTATTAATACAAAGATCGAACACTCAGAAAAAATTCCTTCGATCCGGCCGGATTCGAACCGCTATACCAACTAAGCCACGGAACGAACCAGCGCACCTTACGAATTTTTCTATGTGCTTGCGACGTATCTTTGTATTAAGTTTTTCAACGACTTTTTAGCCGTAGCGCTATCTATGAGAAATCTACGATATTTCGTTACCCGGTTAGATATCTTTACAGCTACCAGCCCCGGCTAGAGATGTCGCTATTTATTGTATTTGAATTTGTATTGAATTGAAATTCAATTATTTTTATGTCAAATTACTCCACTATTTATTTATTTAAAAACGTGTATCGCGTTTACATTGCGTTAGTATCGCGTTTTCATCGCTGATTCAAGTCGTGTGTAAAGGTAGACGATTAATGACTGGATCGTTACTACACCGCGACTGAGTTTGCTGTGTGTAACCGCTCCAACGCGCAGCTGTGATACGTCCGCTAGTAAGTTAGTAATCACCCAGTTACACGAGAAGAAAGTTTTCGCGCGGCCGCCGCGCGGCGACTGCCCTGTTACCACGCCTTCATGTACATTAATGGCGAATCTAAATTCTACGAGTATTTATTATGCAACAACATTTAAATTTCCTCTCAATAAAATTACCGGGCGCTCGTCGCGCGAGCCGCCGCGTAGCCTAAATTCAAGCCAGGCTAGCCCGGAATGCTCATTTAAATTAAAACGTAAAGGATAAACAAATAGAGCGTATTTTGCGATGACAGACGCACGCGGTCGCTGCGCGGCGGCCGCGCGGGGTAAGTGCGGTAAAATTCGTGTCGAATAAACGCGCCCTTATGCACACATTACTGCTTGGCGGTAGAAATAGATAGTAGGTAATAGGTACTTCCCTGGACGAATTCTCACAGTAGCTCTACTACTAGTAAAAAAGTTTGTAAGAAGGACTTTTTGCAATTAACAGCTGTAACTGCCGGTTAAAATGGCAAGCTTCTTTGGGCGTCCTCGGCTCAATACGCTATGTGATATTTCTGCAACAAGAGCAAGTAGTAGGCAAAAGTCTGCGGGAGTACATGCTGAACTAGGAAGCTCTTCACCGTTGCCGACGAGGACAGTTATTGGGTTTAGACGCCTATCTGATGGGTTAAGAAAATAGTTTATTGCTAAGGATATTTTTAGTAGCAGTAGAGCTCCTTATAAAAGAGTTCGTCCAGGGAAGTACTGTCGCCTTACCTATTTCTACCGCCAAGCAGTAATGTGAGCATTACTGTGTTTCGGTTTTGAAGGGTAAGAGTGCTGGTGAAATTACAGGCACATGAGACTTGTCAACTTAAGTCTCAAGGTGACAAGCGCAGTGGCAGTGACCCTCAGATCTTTGCGATTTAAAGCTGTGGGTGGCACTGCAAGTGCTATGGACAGGCGTGTCGCTTAGCACCAGGCGCACGACTTGTTCGTCCTGTTACTTGGTATCATAAAAAAATGAAGTAATAAAGTGATATACACGATTAAGGTCCAAAAAAGCACTTTTTTTTGTTCCTACAATCATAATATACTAGACAAAAAAGAGTACCATTAAAAAAGTACTTCTACAGATATACATCTTGAAACACGTCATCACAAAAAGTACGCCTTCTTTTTATACAATTAAAAATCGGCCCTGCAAAAAAGATTTAAAAACTTTTAACATCATCTGTTTTCTTTTTTTATCAATTCATTGACGTCTTTTCAGTGACTGTCAAAATGACAGTTGATTTATGGTTTTTCTTTATGGCAACCTTTTATTCAAGATGGCAACACTTGCGGCAAAAAGATCTTTCTTCGCTAATGACATTTCTTTATATTTAAAATGCGGATAATATAACGACGTTGCAGTATATATATCGAGTAAGCAGTAAGGTTACTTAGCTAAATAAGACATGTATGTATGAAAAAACTAAGAGTAAGGGTGCTGGTAAAATTACAGGCACATAGGACTTATAATGTCTAAGGGTGACGGGCACAAGACACGCAGTGCCCCTCTTAAGGGTGTCTTTGCAGTTTAACCTCAGAGTGGTAATGCAACTGTAATGGAGAGGCATGTCGCTCGCCACCAGGCACACGACTTGTTCGTCCCGTCAGTTTGTATTATAAAAAAACACACTTTTTGTGGATGAATAAATTATGAATTATGATGAACCATTATTATGATGAATTAGCGACCATGGTGTACACACTATGTCCATCAGTTTGTAGTCCCTTGGTCATCTCATCTACTTTCTAGTGGAAGGAGTTTGCGTTGCAATCGTTTGTGTCGCTACGAATACATGTCGAAGCCATTGTAAGA